GATTTTCTTACAATATTAGTTTATAACAAGTTTTATTCGTTCTTTGAGTGCCTTGGTAGGCATTTTTCAAGCTACTTTGTTGAGTAACTATTAAAGTTCGTCCTTAACATTGAATAACTCTTGAAACATAGTAGTTACTACAATATTATTTGTTTCAACTTATATTTAGAATTAAAAGTATTAAGAGAAACTGTAAGTAGAAGAATACTCTAATGGGCAAACTCAATAAGGTAAAAAGTATTAATTTAATTACCGTTAATCATTTCTATATCAGTTGCTTCGGTTGAAAAAGTTTTTCAAAACTAAATTAATAAAGTTTAACATGATATCACAAGAGAGGATTAAACAAATAGGTTAGACATTGGCAATAATTAAAACTTATTATAACTTCTTTAGGTTTTGATAAATTATAAGAATAAAAATAATAATTAAAATAAATTTAAGGCCTCTCTTTTTTTCCGCCTTAGGCCCCATATTATGTCGAGCCGCCCCTGCCAAGAAACCTTCTTTGAGGCAGGTTTCTCAAGAGAAGACTGACCTTGCTCAAATGAGTTAAATGTTTCTTGGTGCTGTGATGAGCAGGGAGCCCAGATTGAGGGAGAAAGGGTCATTGTTCGTAGATGCAAAATTGAATGGACAGACTGTCCATATCATGGTGGACACTTGTACGACACACGACTTTGTGACTGAAGCTAGGGCTAAGTCACTTGGCCTTAGGTTTGGTCCCAACAATTCTTTGTTAAAGACAGTTAATGCTACCTTACCAACGTGAATGGAGTTGCACGTGATGTGCAACTCAACTTAGGATCTTGGCAGGGACATATGAATTTCTTTTTCGCTCCAATGGACGTTTTGATCTTGTGTTGGGGTTGGACTATTGGGATGAAGTCATGGCCTTCATTCCCCTAGTCTCAACCAGATTTATATTTGGGATCCAAGGAGTCCTTGTGTTGTGCCAACATTTCGTGTACCACAAGTTGTTGGCCAACTTTTGGCAATGCAGATTGTGAAGGGCTTCAAGACAGAAGAAGCTACATTCCTAGTAGTTGTGACAGGCTTGAAGAGGACAAATCCATCTATGTGGGGGAAGCCTTTCCCCTTTGTGTTCAATAGGTCTTTGAAGAGAACAAGGACGTGATGCCAGAAGACCTTCTCAAACGTGTACCACCACGTATGGAAGTGGACCACCAAATTGAGATGATTCCAGGAGTAAAGCCACCTGCCATAGGTCTATATCGCATGGCACCTCCGTAGTTGGAGGGGTTGAGGAAGCAACTCAAACGAGTTGCTTGAAGCGGGACATATGTGACTGTCAAAGACACCATTTGGAGCTCTAGTCTTGTTCCAAAAGAAGCAAGATGGGACCTTGCAGTTGTGCATAGACTATCGTGCTCTCAACAAGGTCACATGGAAGAAAAAATATCCTATTCCATTGATTGCATATATTTTTTTATCATTTTGGTTAGGCCAAGGTGTTTAGCAAAATGAACTTGAGGAAATGATACAATTAAGTTCGCATAGCCGAAGGTGATGAGCCAAAGATGATTTGTGTGACTCGTTATGAGGATTTTGAATGGTTGGTGATACCGTTCGGCTTAACCAATGCCCCAGCTACGTTTTGCACTTTGATGAACAAGTTGTTCCATCCGTTTTTGGATCAGTTTGTGGTCATCTATCTTAATGACATTATAATTTATCACAGCTGTATGGAGGAGCATCTTGATACTTTCACAAAGTTTTCCAAGTGCCAAGGGAAAACAACATGTTTGTAAAGAAGAAAAGTGTTATTTTGCTTAGACACAAGTGGAATTCTTGGGGCATACAATCAGTCAAGGACAAACTCGGATGGATAGAACCAAGGTTGCAGCGATTAGAGATTGGGAGGCCGCAACAAAGGTAACCGAACTACGGTTTTCTTGGCCTCGCTAATTATTACCGACGACTCATTCTTGGCTATTCAGCAATAGCGACTCCGCTCACTGATTTGCTGAAGAAGGATCACTTTTGGGAGTGGACTGATTCATGTCAAGAGGTGTTTGAGGGTCTCAAATCAACATTACGGAGGAGCCTGCCTTGGCTCTACCCAACTTTACCAAAGTCTTTGAGGTCCATATGGATGCTTCTGATTTTGCTATTAGTGGCGTCCTAATGCAAGAGAACCATCTGATAGCCTTTATGAGCAGAAAATTAAATGATACGGAGCGTTGCTATACTATCCAAGAGAAGGAGATGACGGTCATGGTTCATTGTCTAAGAACATGGCACCATTATTTATTGGGGGCTCATTTAATTGTCAAAACAGATATGTGGCAACAAGCTATTTCTAGTCCCAAAAGAAATTGTCACCTAAGCAAGCACGGTGGTAGGACTTCTTGGCGGAATTGATTATTCCTTGGAATACAGACCAGGAAAGCCAATGTTGTTGCCGACGCGTAGTAGTGCTAGCACCCATTGTTAGAACCACTAGTAGGGACATTCTTGATGCCATCAAGCAAAGTATGCAACATGATCCGGTGGCGAAGCAGCTTCTTGACTTGGTCAGCCAAGGCAATACAAAGAAATTTTGAGTGGAAGATGGGCTTCTATATACCACCGGAAGGCGTTGTGCCTAAGAGGGGAAATCTTAGGAGCATTTTTATCAAAGAGGTTCGTGAAACAATATAGGAAGGGCATCCGGGTCAAAAACGTACAATGACATTGTTGGAGTCATCCTATATTGACCTCATATGAGGGATGACATTGAGGTCTACGTCCGAATGTCTTATTTGCCAACAAGACAAGGTGGAGCAGAAGGTACCTGGGGGCTTGCTTGAGCCCTTACCAATGGCATAAAGGCCATGGGATAGTGTCATAATGGACTTTATTACGTGATTGCCAAATTTAGAAGGCTTTGGAACGAACATGGTATTGGTCGATCATTTTTCAAAGTATGCTACCTTCACTGCCAATTGCGAAGCCAAAGAGGCAGCATACTTATTTCTATGGGACGTGGTAAAGCATTGGGGTATTCCAAAGCACATTATTAGCGATCGTGATCCACGTTTCACTAGTGCTTTTTGGAGGGAGTTGTTCAACTTGTTGGGTTCGGAGTTGCACTTCTCAACAAATTTCCATCCCCAAACAGATAGCATCAATACGCTTTTGGAGCTATACTTAAGACAATTCGTTAGCGCCAATTAGAAGGATTGGGCAAAGCTGCTTGACACAACTCAGTTCTCATATAATTTGCAACGTAGTGAATCAACTGGGAGGAGTTTCTTTGAGCTTGCAACAGGGCAACAGCCCAATACACCACAGTCCTTGCCCGTGAGTGCGGAATTGAAGAACCCAAGCGCATTTCGTATGGAAAAGGCGTGGGAGGAGCATGTTAATATGGCCAGGTCTTATCTAGACAAGGTTACCCGCAAGATAAAGAGATTTGCTGATCGTAAGCGCCGTCCGTTCACTATAGAATTGGGGATAAAGTCACAATGAAGCTTAATCCCCGTCAATTCAAGTCATTGAGGGGCGTTAATCAAAACTTGATCCGACTGTATGAGGGGCCATTCGAGATCATTGCCAAGGTGGGCAAGATTTCTTGTAGACTAGATATGCCACACCGTTTGAAATATATCCAGTCTTCCATGCTGGCCAATTGAAGCCATACCATGAAGACAAGGTGGACGTGAAGCGTGGGCAGTGTAGTTGTACTGAGATTTTCATCACCCGTTCAGCTATTGACAAGAAGATTGAGGCCATAATTGATCATCAATTTGTCCGAGGAAAAGGTGGGGCAATTCAAGTGCTCAATTTCTTGTTCATTGGAAGGGGCAGTCACCCTAGGAAGCGTCGTGGGAAAAATACGAAGATTTATGGCAGTTCAAGGATCAAGTGCATGAGTACTTGAATCTTTGTGGTGTCGCGGTCGTCGCCATTTCAAGTGGGGAGAACGTGTCGCCCCGCTTAGCTGCCACAAGCCATGGAGCATTTCCACACAAGCTACCACCGTTTGGGAGGGTCAAAGACAAGTATGCAAATCAATTAATGCAACCCGGTACTTGTTCCCAGCTACTGGACGTGTTTCATGCTGCAAACCCTACCCAGCGAAAGGGACACCCCTGAAAGTCAAGGCAAAACATGCATGTTTTAGGCAATAGTGGACTGGCGCCCCAAGTAGCCCTTGCCTCTTCTAGTTAGGCACCTTTAGAGCATATTCTATTGTAACTTAGGCCAAGTAGTGGTTGGCTCAATTATACATACATGTATAGGCCTTAAGGCAAGGCATCTCATACTTTGTATTTTCCATCTTATCAAGAAAATTGGCTTTGGCCTCCCAACTTTTGTGTGCCTTTACTTTCATTGTCTTTCATTGCCTTTGTGTGTGTGTGTATTTGCCCAGCTTAAGCACGACTTGAAGCTTAGTTTCTTGGTAGGATTGAAGTTTTGGATAGCATATAGGCTGTCAAAGTTGTCCGCACGCTGCCTACTTGAGTTAGGCCCGTGACAAGCTCTCTTTATTGATTGAGCAATTCATATATCGTTCGTCTCTAAATAAATGTTCTATTTAGCCTTTCCAATAACAAATAATTATCTTAACAAATAATTAGTTGTCTTTAGATTTTTATTGTTTCTAATTTACTCGCAATAATCATCAAATTTGTTAAAGAATACTCACTAGGCACTTTTTGGAAATTAACGGGACACTACATTTTGTCAGCTAAGTATGCATGTATCGGATTAATACAAAAATTTCTCCTGACCTGTCCGAATTTCTAGTTGCAATGTACTTGTCCAAATGCATCTAATACCAAAGCAAAGCAAAGGCTCATGCTGATTGGGCTACAGTGGGCAGTGGCTTTGTTCAGTTTTGTAAAGGCAGCAACTTCTGTACACAAAAGTGAACGGTGAAGCACGCAAAAGCAGAGCATCCACAAAAGCAAAGAGTATTGAGCCATGAGCTTCGATGAATGTATCAAAAAGCTTCGCGCAGCTGACTTTATGACCAGCTTGTAGACATCAAATACCAAAAAAGATCTTGAATAACGATGAAATCTATTGTATTTTACAACTGCAAACACAACATTGGGCTGTAAAAGTAAAAGATAGCATCTGAATATGTAAAAAACTGTCTGCCTGGTTGTGTATAGTTTCCTTAATAACCTTGAATAAATTCAACTCCAATGCGCTATTTAAATGGCAACCTGATGTCATGATCAGCTATAATGTTAAATCATAAAGAGATCACTCAGTTTCTGAAATCCATTTATAAAACTGTTCCTGTGCCTAGAGCTTCAAAGCAGCTTTTGCCATTGCGAGTGCTCCTTCATAACTTTGATTTCCTCCAATAAACCCACTCATGTGGATAAAAACACAGCCAGGAATTCCTGTTTCCTTGGAGAGTTCATCATCTCTTAAACCTCGCCACTGAGCTGGAAGGGCTTTCCTGCTCTCAAATCTGTCAGGAGCTACACCCACAGCTTGCACTCGCCAACTTTTGCTCCTATCATCCTACAAATAATGAAGTCACATCACTTGATGTTTTCGTAGTCAAATATAGAAAGAATACTGACACACTTCGCTTTTTCATGTTTCTCTCTATTTTTTCTTCCCACCACTGTCTTGAGACACTGATTATTAACTACACTTTTCCAAGACAATAACACTGAGCACTTTTTCATTTGTTCAACATTGGGATTAAGCAAAAAGGCAGATCTTGATGGAACAATTAAAAACCAATGCACACTTCTTCAACATATCTTTCTACAACTGATACCAGCAGATAGATATTTACGGATGATAAAGTTTCCAGAAGCGACCTAAAAGACAACCCCCACGCTATTACCAATCCTGCTCCGAATCTTTCCTCTCCTCGCATACAAGGATTTAAGCAGAAATATGAGACAAAACATTAACTGTGGCGCAGAAAAGGAAAAAGAAAGAAACAGCAGAGGACTCAAGGCACCTGATATAAAGCATATTTGATGGGAGGATCAATCTTCATCTCCTCTTCCAGCTCAAACAAATGAAGCTTCCACTGTTGGACAGGAATATAAAAATATGCTTTTTAAGTTCAGAGTTCATACTAGCAGTGAATATTGACTTTTGTTAATGACAACTCAAGGTATTCCATTAACTAAAAACACAAGGTGTGTACAAAAGGATGTCAGAAAATGTGAGGAAGTGACTTAAGCACAGTTAGCTAATAAGTTATCCCAATCATATATATATACAGGAATATTCTTTAGACATAAAACATACATGCAACCTGTCTATATTACGTATATCCCTTACGCTATTCTGGCAATTTTCCAGTTCTTTCATTCCACACTGTTCATAAGATGCATAATGGCAATTGCCTTTCTTTTTATCAACCTATGAATCCTATAATTCGTGATTGTTTCCTCCACTGTTACTTCGTATTGCCCATGCAACATATTGAACATGCTAGATTCCACAATTGCATAGTAAATTTGCAGTGCAATAGGATATGGATAGAATATGGTCAGTGTCTTTCCCCCTTTCTCTACATAGAGAACATTAGCTTGCTATCATTCTTCTCATTCACAAATTATTTGCTGTGAATATTGTATCCTTAATGGCACACCAAATGAAGAAAGCTACCTTCTTTAGTGCTTTGGTTAGAACATTTCTTCCACATCTCCTTCCTATTCCACTCTCCGGATAACATGAATTCACCAACGGCGATTTTACCCTTTCCCATCCACGTCTTCCTAGCCTCTCCCATGATACCACTGAATATTGTGACTCAGGTTCTTCACAAAATCTGTGATGTATCCCAATTTTACATGTGATGTGATGTATAGCAACCGGAGGAAGTACTCAGTAGAAGGATGCTTCCTAGAAATGAAGTACCATATCTACAGCTTATCAAGATATAAGAGGACTGGTAGTCTTAATAAAGTGCCAAATATTTAAAGATGACTGAGAATGGAGTCTGCTTATGCTGGTATATAAGTGACATTCAAAAGCTACTATGCCTCTCCAAAATTGTCCGTACACGTTGGTCACAGTGAGAACTAGGCATTTGATAAAGTTATTTTCTTTTTTGTACAAGTAAAGAATGAAGCTAATATACAATCCTTATTTAAATTAGCCACAAAACTTAAAAACTTGTGACCTCTAGCACTATGTAGCTATGAACAAAGCAAATTTTAATGATGTTCATGCTGCCTCATGCACAAAAGTTTACTTACCGGGCAAAATGTAGTAAAAACTACAATCTCTCCACTAGGATCAATCTTGTGTCTTGCAGCAAGGCACTCCATGATGATTGAGCGTGCTGGTAACCAAGATCTTACATGAAAGCGGACGCGCTGTGCATAGACAAACATGTTAACTCAGGGAAAGAAACTGAACCATATGCTCATCCTAAACCCCGTCTTTTTCAGAATAAAATTAAGCTTATAAATATGTTATCTAAATGACTTAAGACAGTCTGGTGCCAAAAGGGGCACTCTTAAGACCAACAATTATGCTAGTATAAACTTTATATTACTAACCAAAGAAATAGAGACGAAGCTTTTTAGCTCTGTTAAGAAAGTCTTACATCCAAGAACTCACTGCCAGCTAAATCCATTGCACGTTCGAAAGCTTCATTCTCCTTTTCAGAAGACTGATCAGGTTCAATCCAGTCCAAGTTTAGTCTTCCAACTCGTGAGGACAAATGAGTATTATTTACATATCTGGGTGACTGGTCTGTATCGTACTGATTGATTCCATTGTCGACTGCATCAATTGCCTGTTCGCAGTCAGCAATTGTATTAGGCTTACTAATACTAGAGATATGGTAGTTTGATCCTTCAATTATATCACAAAGTATCAGCTCTCAAGATTTTAAGCAAATCTTGCAAAGACTTGTAATAACATTAAAAAGAAACGATATCAGAAAATAAGAATCCAATCACAAATTCACAACATAGACAAATTGATGATTTTAACATCAGTAACCTGGAGATAAAAAGATTCAAATAAATAATTATTTCTCAGACTAAATTCCTTACCTCCATGAAGCTCTTGTAAATGGCAAGGAACAACCTATGAACATCCGGATGTTCTTCATCAACTTGGAGCTCCTTTGCAATTATCTCCTTTCCAAAATGCTATGAAGCAGGAAAAGGCAAGTAAATTGCAATTAACAGCTACATATGAACTTAATCAAAATACATTAGAGCAAAATAATTTTCAAGCCAAATGGAAGACCTTGAACTACTAAACTTCCAAAAGGAGTCACTAAAAGCTATCCAATCCACGAGCTAGTATTCCCCCACGTAAAAATTCTATGAAATTTCCAGCACTAGATCATATATTCCAAAATCGTCCAATAACTTTTAAGTTTTCGAATCCTTTCATAATCTAACGGCAATAGTAGATCAAATATCGAAACCTCAACTTTTCTTAAATTGTGTAAAAATTACATGTCTGACAATATTTATAGGAGGGAGGAAGTACACCGTAACACACAACATAGTTGAAATTTAGAACGGAAAGGATGAGATTTATGCACATTCATGACATTAACAATTTACATAAAGAAAGAAATTACCTTGTAAACAAGACCAGCACTGCTAAGCTTAGTAGTGAAACCATGTCCAAAAACCTCTTGAAATCCCTTTTGGTGATGATCATAACGGTCTCGACTAGGATCATAAACCCCACCAACATCAAGCACCGCATCAAGCGTTTCCAACACCTTTCATTCATTCAAGCATTTCGTCAAACATTTTACCTACATAAGCCTTCCCAAACATCTAACCCCCCACAAACCCCCAATACCCAATAACATAATACGCACAAAAAAAATTAATCTAACCTGGGTATCGCGAGTACGGACAATCTGAGCATTGTAAAACTTGTTTGTAAGACGAATCATGAAGCAACCAAGAGCTTCATCACAATGGAAGCTACCATTGTGAGTACCTACTCGCTTTAGGGGAACATGGTTTGAAGGGGAAGATACAGGTGAGAAAGAAGAGGAGTTAGCGGTAGCCATTACTAGAGAGAATGCGAGAGGATTTTGATGTTTGAAGGTGAAGAGTTTAGGGTTTTGGAGTAGAGTTCTGGTGAAACCAGAGAGCATTTCTTAAACCCTTTTTAAAACAAAGTAGAGTCAATTTGATAGCTTGACTATGCTAGTATTAGTAGTACATTTATCTTTTTTAAGAAAATAGTAGCACAAAAAAAGTTTCTTTAGAAAAATTAGAATAATAATAATGGAAACAAAAGTAGAAAAAGAAGGCTTGCATAGGAATGTGCTCGGACAAAATTTGAGTTTACGTTGATATATTTTAAAAAAATAATTGTAAGAGTTGAGATTATTAAACTGAAAGCTTGATTATGCTAGGTACATTTAGGCATTAAAAAGATTATCTTTTAAAAAATTTAGAGTGGAAACAATTCAAAGTTCCACCTCTTTCTTATCTCAATACAAAGTGGATTTGAAAAAAGACAAAGTACATATTACCTCTGTTTGACTCAAAAGATACGAAAACCTTTTTGAACAAATCAATCAAAGAAGATGAAAGGGTAAAGCTTAGTTAAAGATAATTAACTCTAGATCCGAGATAAATAATATGAATAGAAAAACATAATCGAGTATGAGTATTAGTCGTGACTATGGCCAGATTTAATAGCATAAAGAAATATGCATAAAGTAACATTAAGTGTCAATAAAATATAAATAAAAGAAAAGATTCACTCAATCTTGAGTGAGACGGATCTTCTTTCATTTGATAAAGACGAATGATAGACAAACACAAGAACCTTAGGACCCTTTTTGGATCCGAAGAAGGTATGAGATCACAGATACTCAGAGAGGTGTGTTTACATATTTTCTAGAGAGAGGGAGAGGGAGAGAGCCCCTTTTTTGGAAGTCCTCCCTTCCTATTTATAAGGCGTATCCATAGAAAATCCTTAAAAAGTACAATTAGAGGGAATATTCAGTAGAATATTCCTTTTGAGGATTCCAAAGCAAACTAGCTATTTAATCGTTGTCCGACCTCGGTCTTATTGATGAATGTCCGACCTCGGCTATTGATGATTGTCCGACCACGGCTATTGATGACTATCTGACCTCGGCCTTATTGATGATTGTCCGACCTCGGCTATTAATGACTGTTTGACCTCGGCTATTGATGATTGTCCGACCTCGGCCTGTTCGACCTCTGCCTGTCCGACTTCGGCCTTATGTCTCCGCGTGCAGAAATTTTCTGATCTAATTTTGGCCCATACAACCTCCATTTTCATATTAAATGAGGTACTTTCCTTTTTAGTCTGTTCCAAAACAAATGACACATTTTTAAATTTGGAAATAATTCAACTTTAAACTCTTTCATTTTACCCATTTACCCTTAATGATAAGCTTTTATAGCCACACAAATGTCATAGCCCCACAAACTTTTTACCCCTTAAGCTTTTAAGATCACAAGTTTCAAAAGTTTTCTTCTTTTTCCTTAAACTCCGTGACGAGTCAAACTAACTCATCTAATATGAAACGGATGGAGTATAAGATAAAGATAATTGAGATTATTTGGAAGTAAAAAAATAAATAGAAATTAAACAAAGAAAGCTACTATGTCATGTTTTTCATATTATTGACTACAGAACTTCAGAACTTTCGATAACATGTCATGTTTTTCAGATTATTAGTATCTATAAACGTGTGTTGCACGTTAATAATAGCATATGATGGTTTAAATATTTATTTTTTATAAAGGAACAATAGAATTTAATTAATGAGAGAAATTTTATATATAATATTACAACAATCATCTAAATGCTGAAAAATATTGTTACATTAGCATAAGACGTGAATTCAAAATGAAAGGATATCATTAGAACTTACATAAATGATGAATTTTAGTGATGTTAAGTAGATAATTATGTATTGCAGTATAAAGTTATCTAATGTGATAGTATCTTAGCGAACACTTTTTTATATTGATATCTCTCTTGAAAGTGCAAAATATAATTATTCATGTAAGAAAACATATTATGGTAAATATAGTTCAATATTTAGGATATTTGTCCTTGTGCTTTATTTATTATAACTACAAAACATAAACATATTGAAAATTATTTTTAAACAAATTTAAAAGGATATTCTTTAGTTTCGAAAGACAAAAGTTGAATTCAAAAATAAACACATACTTAGAAGCACATTGACGAGTATCATAAGTTCTGCATGTATGACGTTATTGTAAAAATTTCTATATATCATATGTGTATTATTATATAAGCTATTCAGTGAATCTAAGTTTTCAGTAGCATGACAGATATAATTTTCTTCAAAATCAATCTATATGCAATGGAAGATCAATTTTAACTTAGTCTAGTATATATATGACGACACTAACATACGTGAGAAATAATGAATTTGACAACAAACATGTATAACAGAAGGCCATTTGGTATTAAAGTATTTAAGTATTCTTCTTGGTAGTTATTGTTGGTATCATCTTCTGCTAAGTCAGAACTGAAAAATATTTTGTTTTTACCATAAAACTTAGCAATCAACATTTTATTTAGTTAATCAACATATTCATTTCTGCTAGCTAAGAAAGCTCTTTAATTTCTATCATGTAATTTGCACAAATTGCATTTTAATCTAATGATGAAAATATTTTCCTTATTAAATGCATTACTATTATCATTGCAGTTGATAACCAAGTATTCTAGAAGAATCAAATCATCTTTTATTGGATGCTCTTCTTCATTTCCTACATGAAGCAAGAAGTCACTGAATGTTGGATCTGTTCTTACTATTATATTTCTTGTCATTTGAATATTTTTCATTTGAGGTCATAAGTATAATTTTGGCAAGTTAGTTTTTACAAATTCTGCTTTGGTCACTTTTGGAACTACTGATTGTACTTGATAGAAATCACCTCCCAAACTATTATTTTTCCACCAAACGGTTCATCGATATCCATTATATCTCTAAAACTGTGGGTGATTGTTTCAATCGTATGACGCTTAACCAAAAGCGTCATATTATCACTTTTGCGTTCCTTATAAATTTAGCATTGTTGTTCTGATTTGATATTTATGATGATTAATTTAGTTATTTGAAGAGGTATATCAAATTTGAAGTGAGTTGTTCGACATCATAATAAAATCGTTGCTGGTATACCACTTGTTCTTATTGCTAACAATATCATGCCTCTTGATATGACATTTACAAGTAATGCATGACATAGAAATATTATTTTGATTCCACTAGAGACATCTACAAAGGATAATCTCGTTATACCAGAGTCTTTTTTATAATATAATCTTGAAAACTTATTCTTGTTTAGGATTTAACTTTAGTTGTGCTTCCTCAAATACTTGTATGACCTTCTTAATATTATATTAATATCTTTTACTTTGTGATCTATTTTTTTAATCTTTAATACACTTTTTTATGGAATAAATTTATGTACCCTAAGATTTTTTTAACCTAAAAAATTATTTTACGCATATGATGATTTATTAAACAATTTAATTGAACTCTCTTGCTAAATAATTAATTGAAAGATTTGATTGTTTGGTTTTAACATAAAATATAATTTATTTTCTGTTGATTTAGATTCTTAATGTTAGTTCATTTCATGTTTGAATATTTAACCGTAATTATAATTTTATCAACTATAAGTTTTATTTTCAAATAGTAAAAAGATCGATGATATTCTACGTTTAGATCTTTATGTTTGTAAAATCATTAGTGGTATGGATTCTTACCAACTTTTTTCTTTCTTTTATCACACATTTATATACTTAAAAATTTTCGTAGTTGTTCTTTAATAATTGAGTATATTTTTCTATATTACACGAAAAATTGATAATATAAAATTATTATTTGAGTAGGAAACCATTCAGATATACTATAATAATATATTATCTTGGGAATTGTTTTCTCAATTTCAACGCTTTATGCAGTCCGTTTAGCATTACTTTTTTTTGGTATTGAATATTATAGAGTGGTAATGTATTATCAATATGGAGGATTCTTATGGATTTGATTTTATTAAACCTTCCTACATATTTTAAATAAGAAGTTAACAGACGAGATTGTATTAATTTTAAAATCTTAAATATTAAAAAAACTAACATAGAAGTTATTGTAGTCCAAAAAAGGTTATTACAACTATATTGTTCCCTATGAATTCTTCTCGACCTTTATAATAATTATAAATATATTACGTTTAAGTTCTCTTCTTGGTCTTTTATTCTTTTTCTCCTTTTGAACCTACGATAATTTTGACTTTCCTTAATAGGAATATTAACTAATTTCTTTTCCCTTTTTAAGCCAATGACAATCGCTCTTTGTTAGGGATATAATTATTGAAGGAGTTTCAACTTATTCTTTTCT